GTGCTGTGTCTTGACAAGCACTGTAAACTTTAGAGCTTTAGTTAAACTACAATAATTCCTTCTTTGCAATGCTCCGTGCAAAGCAGACCTTACTTAAAAATGCAATTATTTTGTGGCACTTCCTTACCGTTTCGCCTATCGAGACACTACGCGTCTCGACTTGACACCCCATGCGTCCCTTTAAGCACAAGAAGGTGAGTTTATCCGAAGGATCTCATTCAGAGCAAGTAAAACAATTGAGCAAGGAAGATGAACACAAAAATTCTATTCGTTTTTACTGTCATCATCATGCAGTAACCACACATTAATCACTACCTGTATTTCTTGATGTTTTCGTCACCCACTCAGGTGAAAACTGTTACACTTGCATTGCCTCACATTTATGCGAGCGAAACTTTAACACAAAATTTTAAATTCGTTAATGACCCACAGCAGTAGTAGAGGAAGAGAGGCATGCATGCACAGACTCTCTTTCAACCGTTTAAAATGCCACATTATAAGATCCTTGCGATGCATCTGTAAAGATATGACTTTTCTCCACAAAATATTTCTTATTTGTTCCAGTGGTTAAAGCACGTCAATCCTGAGGAGGCTGACGCCTACAAAGCAGCGGGGAAGTCACTGGTTCCTCTCCCGTCGCCACGGCCCGCGGAGGCGGATGAATTCTACCTGGCGCTGGAGAAGTGGGAGGACGCTCCAGCCTATATGGAAAGAACGGTAGTGCAGCCTCACCGTGCCACATCAACCTCGGCCACTGCTGCCGCCGCCGGCGAGATAACCGTGCCAGAGCGTGAGTTCTTGAGCTCACGGCACGAGGGGGAGGCAGAAGAGAGGCTCTTTGTCTCTCGCCTCCGTCTCAGAGGTCCTGTCAGCGTTCCTCTCCATGCCGGCAAGTATGTGGTCATGACTATGAGCAGGTCGAACCTCAAGGCCATTGACTATGCCGTCGCGTATGTGCGCGTCGTACCAAGTAAGTCATTAGACTTTTGTTTGAGCGTATCGTTTTCATTAGATCTTTATCACATGAAGTAGTGGGGCTACGCAGCTCCGAACGCCGAAGTTGGGAGAAAATTCGTTCCATATCCATCCGTTGTAGAATCCTTCAATGTTACTGTGCACAACATTATGGTCTACTGCGTGGTTCCAATTGCCCTCATTCTTCTGATCGCCTTTGTCTCCCTCTACTGCTTCCTAAGTCGTCGTAACAAGGACATCGAACATCCAACCACTCGGCGAGCCAGTGCCATGTTCCCCCCCGTGGTGCGAGGACATTCATTGCCTGGAGTGAAGAAGGAGTACCGACCTATAGCCCGACAGACCCTCCAATCCTCGGCACTCTCCAACGGCAACACTGTTTCAAACGGAAGTAAAACATCCTCATGTTTACCGCCATACGTGGTGCATTCCTCATCCTCCCAGTGGAACGCGGCTACAGCCACTGCTCCTGCTACCAGTCCCACCTCCCATCCAAACTCTGTTCATAACTTCCAGTCCCATGTCTCCCAACCGCCGACACAACTATCCCCCTCGCCGTCTACCTTTTACAATTACTCAGGCCTGCAGTCTCTAAACAACCAGCCCACTTACTGGCATCCACCAGCCCCCTCAGTTGCTACGGAGACGTCTTTCGATCAGTACTCAGCGATCATGGGCAACCCGCCCTCCACCTCGGGAGGATTTAGTGTGAACCAGTCCGCCTCCTCCTCGCAACAGCCTCAACTTTCTTTCCCCAACGTGTGAATTTTCTGCAGTCAGCGACATTGACTTTCCTATCCAAACGTCACAGGGTTTCAATTTAATTAACCAGCAAAATTCATAAATTTTATTTGTACAGATACTATCAAGTAATATCATTTCAAATTATCCACTACTATCTATTCGATCCCATCCTCGTTATCATTTTGCTAATAAAAGGTTTTCCTAGTAATTGCATTTTGACTTTCCGGCATTTGGAACAATGTTGGTCTTTATATACTGCAAGGTCTTCCTGGTATTATAAAATTCGAAATGACACTTCTTGCTGGAAAGCTACCCAATTCACTTGATTTCCAAATGGAAGATTGGGCCCAAACTGTTAATAGGGCTTTATTTTATGGGTGCGGTAGACACAACAGAGTAAAATGGCGAGCGCATTCCACCTACACGTCAAAGAATGCAAATCCCCACGTTTTGCATCACTCAACGATCGACAACTCAGATGTAAAGTTTACGACAGTTCCCACAAAATATAATCCCTACCTAAGAGACTCAAAAGTCATTAACATTTAGACAAGGCTTACAACTGAAGGAAACAAAGTTTAACGGTCATCTTATCCATTAAAACAGGACAAATTTGGGATTAGGCGCATAATATAAGATGTCATGTTTAATGGTCACTCTGAGCTGTCCCACGAAATAGTGAGAAACTATGCCTGGGTTTTCGGACATGCGCAAATCCCCACTTAATGAGCCTATGCAGCATCTGGCAAGACTGTCAATCTGAAACTTTACTCAGCAATCATCTTGTAATCGAGAATTAAAGTACTGATCACAATCTGAAAAAAGTTGGCGATGTGGCGCTCTCATTGGTTTGAGTAATACAGTGAGACTTGGGACGGTTTTACCGTCCTTCCATGACTGCTATCACTGGGCTCAGAATATCACAGTCAGCAAAGTATAGAACAATAGATGTTCATGGCACCTGAAGAAATGCGTAAAATCCAAAGGCAAAATCCTCCCTCACTCCAAAAGTATCCATGATTATTCGATCCCCATCTGCTTCATTAACGAGGAATAGCGTGCAAACTGCTCACTATGACTAAACCATTGACACTGTCCATCATCGTGCCTTCGCCAGTCCCCACAGATAATCACTACCTTTGTACAGAGAGTTCCTGGTTGTGGCTCCCTCTCCCAGATGCGTATGCTCGACTTTCTACCAAACCATTTCCTGTCCATCACCGAGGCTGGTACCAAGTGGGGAAGTCTCTGTACTGCCAATTGGCTCCACCATGCAAGTCAGGGACTTGTCATTTTAAATTCTCACAAAACACTTTATGTTAAAGCTTTCACAGGCGTACAGGCGATCATCTTATGTGAGGCACTTTCAGTAACTCTAAATATCATGTTGTTTACAAAGTTAATAAGGCAAAAGAGTAACACATCATTTGGAGATACAAATGATGGAAGGTGCCACCCGTCCTGAGACAATCTCTTGATGAATAGAAGAAAATAACTTGGCAACATACCTAAACATTGGGAGGAAGTGGAGATTTCCTGCAGCTGTCGGCCAATGTCACTGGGATGATTCCCAAAGAATACACTTCATTGATGGAAGAAGAGGATGATGAATTAGAGAATCACCTGAAAGAATACGCATGCACATAAATATACAGCTGCCCAAAACAGTTATTCCTATATTGAAACCGATGAAGTCGTTTTGGTGGAAAAAGTTTAATTTAACCAAAACCATTTGTTTGATAGACGTTGGATTGATTTAGTGAACTTCTTACGACAATCCTACCAAAGGTACCCACGCAGTTCCTGTGGCGAGGTGCAACATTGTGCCAGCGTTAGAATAGAATCTTGAAAAATCATGTAGGAAGGGAGGGAGACGATGGACGTTTTGGTGCGTGGTTTCGCCTGCATGTTTGTGTGCCCCAATGGCAAATCCCGTGATTGACAGCATGACTCACACGCACACCCTCACTCCCTCCTTCACTCAACGCGGATGACCGGAAACTGAATTTCTGATGCCACCACACCAAATGATAAAGAACGCATGTGGCATCCGGAAGTCGTCCCAGCTACTCCATGTTTTTGAAATGCAAAAAACGGGCACCTTAGTGATGGTTTTCCAAAAGCTGACCTGAAGCAATTTTCCACTTTTGTATTAACAGGGTGTTTAGTAGAAGTTGCCTTGAACAGGGGGATTAGGCACTTTTTGGCAACTGAGGAAGCATGAACGTGGGGTGTTAGCAAAGTTACATGAATTGTAGTGTTGGAAAATTGACAGATGTTTATAGAGTGTCTGGGGTCACGATGACAAATGGCACGATTTTTGCTTAGAAAACGACTTTGACGCAAGTGTTGCACCTCAATTTTCGTTGATTGGCTAGTCGAGAGGACGATTTTGGATGAAGGGGAGCAAGACTGAAAAGACCGGAAATAAGCGTTTTTTTAACAACCCTAAGACCAGGTTACCTGTTCTCTACATTTCTTGGGTAAATTGATGGCCACACCCAAATGCTGTTTTTCTCCGTCTGCTCCTCGTGCAATGAGGACAGCACACATTCGATACATCTGTTAACTGGGAGGATAGAGCAGGTAAAGGATGCAGTGAGAGTAAGAAAGCTCTTCCATTTGGCCAAGAAGTCGGTTTGCTTTACCACAAAGTTTTTAATGTTTTTTCGTGGTGTGCCTGCCGTAGCTGTAGTGGTAGAGGAGACCATTCTTGATCACTTGTCCAAAGGAACTTTGCAGTATGTTGCTGTGACCTTATAAGGTATTAGCATATCAAACTGTCCTTCGCGCTCATTTGTCACATTCCCTTTTAATACCAATTTTTGCGTAGTATTAAACATTTCTCCGCTCAGTAAGGCAAGTTTGTTGGTGGCAACCCAACTCCAGACAATTGCGTTCACAAGATTTCCCAATTTACAATTCTTCGAAGCGTCAAATTCATCTTCATACTCTCAAAGAGATTTCGCATGCTTCCTTCACCCTCTACTCATCACACCCCGCAGTGATGCGTGGATGGCCATCCGTGCGTGTTGGTTGAGAGGTGTGAACCATGATTGAGCCCTCCACATTGTGCGCATTGCTGTCTGGTTTCGAGGTGACAACAAAAGAATGTATGACGAGGTGTCATTTGGATGGCCTTCTGGTAAGGAAAAAAGTAATTGACGGCCACCAAACCTACCGTCGTCTACTTCCTACCTTCAAGCAGCATATAATAAACATGCGAACACGTTTGCAACCCATAAAACGTTTCCACTATAAAAATCCTCAAAATCCAACCAGAAACCGAATTTGAGTTGAAATAATTTCTGTAGAATACCATGTTTACGAAATTGCAATTACAAAATAGGATAACTCTACTTTGTATTGCTTTTGCTAACTTTAATTATTTCATCAACCCTCGGTTTCGAGAAGGAATCACTGTAGGGTTTCGTCGCTATTGCTTAGCTTAACAACTTAACCTTAGGGCCATGGTACGGGCTTCTAGTCCTAAAGGGAGTTGATAACGCATAGTCTGCCCTAATTGTAAACCCTTTTTCATCCTGAAGGACGCCACCATAGCATTAGTCAGGAAACCTGCCTAAACCTTAGAACCACCGTTTGTAGACCGAATTACTCGAGTAACAAGCGCCCAACTGGAAGTGCTCATCCAGTATCGCATCCGTGAAACAGCTAGAGAACTGAGCCAGTGGGGTAAGTTGTACCTAAAACATTCATATTATTAAGTTTTGCTGCCTCATTCCAATTTTTGTTTTGAAAAAGGATGCATTCACTTTAAGAAATGCAATATAACCACATGTCTCATGAGACAGCCAACTTCTAAGAATGGCAGCATACGGAGGTTGAATTAAATCTGTTTGACAATTCTCCTCTTAACACACTGAGGGATGTACAAGCAACCCTTTTGTAACTAATATTTTCCACCTTCAAGCAGTTTTGAACAGCGATGATGTGCTGAAATGACGGCCATTGAGAATTTTCGACGTTCCAACCTCTACTTTTACCTGTCAACGCCCTAAATTGCAACTTAATGCATGTGTGAACAGAGAGTGTCTTTTGTGAAGATCCGATGGTTAAGCCCTGTTTCCAGATACGCGTTCCCCCTTTCTCACCGCAGAAAAAAGCCTTCACTGAGAAACTCACCATCTCTTACCCCCTCCATGAGCCAGGCCAGCTGCAAAGCGGTAAGCCCGAGTAAAATATCTAGCTTCTTAAAGCTGAAGTAGAGGTGTCATTTTTTTTAAAATTGGGTTTCATGCACAGAATGTTAGCATAAGTGTTACTGAATGAGGAAAGTCTTTGCGTGTGACTGACAAGTTGAGACTAAACTTTGACGCCACCAAGCGCATGTATGTGTTGTGTATTGGCACAAGGCTCCTGCAAAATTACAAATCCTCACTGGGGATGAATAACGATGATTGATATTTGCAAATTACGCCTTGGTTTACGACAGACCTCTGCTGAAGCGGCAACTGTCGCGCATTTGTGGGTAACTTTAAGGGGCGTGGTGCGTGTTTGTGTGAGATTGTGATGTGGGCTTTGCTTGGGCATTAATTTGCCACTAACAATGAGGACGCGTAAAAGGAGGAGCCTAGAGGCGATAGAAGCACTCGCTTCCGGCGCTTGTCAATCGCCGGTGCAGGAGAGAAAGGTGAAATGCTGACCAACCCCGCCCACAATCAGCTTGAATATGGACAGCTGGGAACAAAATACTCTGTCTGCTTGGTCTCCACGTTTAACCGGTATGCTGACGCTTCAAATTTTCGCTGGAGGGAAGAAAATGTACTGTCGCTTATTGGAGAAAAACGGGTGTCTCGACGTATCCTACTAGGCATGGCAGTGACGGCATTACCCAGGAAGCTCTTCCGTGGATGAAACAAGACATCGACTACATTATAGCAACTCTTTTCAACTCTCAAGATCGTATGTAAAGTTTTGATTTGTCGTGCTAGTTGTTTTATGCGGTTCTGTATTACCAGTCTCTTTAGCGCGAAAATGCCAAACAGACTCACTGGCAAAAAATAGCGGGAGGGATAAGCAAAAAGTTGCGGGTATGACGCCAGCAGAGGTATTGAGAGTAAAATTGTTTGATAGTGTCCCTCGAAGAAACGAAAAAAATGGAGACAACCTAACTTCCACCACTGTGAAGTGCACTGAATTACATTTTAAGAGTAATTTTAAGGAGGTTGGGACCTTCTTAGTCAGGAATTCGATAAGGGAAAGGAAGTGCGAGAAAACAGGTTTCATTAACACTCATCTTTAATTTGTTGTTGGCAGAAAAAATAGAATATTTATTGCAATGAGAAAACGAAAGGCATAACTATACTGACTTGGACTGGAGGCTGGAGATG